TGCAAGGGGGAGAAGGGCGAAAACTAGGAAAGCTGAAGTAAAGAAAACCGACCTTCTATCCGGAACGGCCTTTCTCGTGCGCGTCCTTTTTCCCCTTGCACTACTTTTCTTAGGTTGTATCTGACTATAGTGCGCTGAGCTTGAACCCCAGAGTATGTCCAAGAGGCTTATTTCTGTAATTTGAATCTAATGCATGTCATGTGCTGTTCTCACCGTTCGGTATTGTGCCTCCATGTTTGTGTGTTGGTGTGCACTACATCTGTGTGCTCGATTGGGCGAGTCTGTACGTGGACGGCTCTGCGCGCCAGCTCGAGAAGCTTTGTAGGCCTAACAAGACGAACTCACTTTCATGGGGTGTCAGCCAAAGCTTGAAGCTCGGCGACGAACCATATGTAGAGTTTATTAGAATTGAGGACGACCTTGTGTATGGGCTGTGTATGATCATGAGCTAGTCGCATCTCGCTGGCATCTATTCCCGCTCTAAACAACAAATGTATATCTGCCAAGTTCGGAGAAACAAAATCCGGAAGACTTTCTAAGATGGGAGGAGGAGTAGGAGGAAGAGGACGGTTTAAAACTATTAACAGTACATTTACAAGAAGATAACGTCATTACATTTGTATTGCACTGCTCATTTTTAGCGAGATGCAGCTGGGCTTCGCTATCTTTGCTGCCGTCTGTCACCAATCTTATCTGGAGCATCAGCATCCTGGTTTATTAGGTCCTGCTCAACTGAATCCCCACTGGTGCTGGCTTCCTCGGAGTTCAGCTCTGCTAAGGTAACTGCTGTCGGCATGTCTTTCTGTAGTTGATTCCATGAGGAAAAAAGAACCCTAAAATTACAAGCTCAGCACCGGAACTAAAATAGACACGACTATGTTTTATCTTGTTATGACAGCATAAAAAAGTAGACAGTTATGAATGAGCCAAAATTTAAAACTTGGTTGTCACACAGTATCTGCTGATTCCACGAATTGCGACTCTCTATGTTCCTTACAAACGAGAGCACTAACTGCGAGGTCTGCGAGTGGCCATACTTTCCCGCGGCTTCAGGGGCTGTCTCAGCTTTGGGGGCTTGTCCAGTGGTGGTAAAGGCGGATACTGGGACGGCATGGATCCTGGGGCGAGTGTCCTTTTTCCAGCTTACGAGAAAAAAAATCAATCACGACGGAGCGTAAGCATGCGTCGATCTCGGCCGTCTTATTGCCAGCTTTTCTCAGTTCGCTCGAGTGGCTTTAGGGCTGCCACTGCCCGGGAAAACTAACGAGTTAAGCAGTTAAGATGCACGCATGCGTGACATCACTCTCTGCGGAAACCTTTCGTGTCTGTCGCCTACGAGCTAAATTCAGAGCGCGTCGATCTCTGACGTGCGCGAACAAGCCTTCCCTTCCCCCTTTTTGTAGAGGTTCACTAAAGTAACTTCAGAGCACTTACCGAAAATCTTCGCTCCAGCCTCATACAGAAAGTCTTCATCTCGAAAGTGCTTGTTGCACACTGTTGAACTCTTAGAGTTTAATTTGTCCATTCATAGTTTCACAAGGCACTTCGTGCGCAGCTGCTTCTCCTTGGGGTAGATGTGGAAGCTGATGTTTGGGTCGGTCGCGTAACTGCGGCATTCCGGCGGCGAACAGTACTTTACAATTGCTCCCTGAGCTCGACAGTTGCCGAAGCCGATCTACGCATGTACTGATCAGGCTTCAAACACAAAAAAGCGAAAGTACTGACCGAACGGTTTCCGAATACTCCGACCAAAGCAAGGCGGAATGGCTGGCCTTAGCACGGGATCGCCCATCCTACATCACGATCGAGTGATCTAAGCGCTGCAATCGGTTTTGCTCGGGACCAGTAGGTATACACCTTTTGACGGCATTCTTGAAGTTCTACAAGCTGATTAAGCTGTATTTCAAGAACAAAATTTTTTTTTCAGGAAAATATAAATTCCTAGGTTTCCTAGGTTTAAAAAAAAACGCAATTCAACTAGTGCAGAAAATACAGATAGAGTTCTGGGTTCCTAGACATATGGACATTGATGGCAATGAAGGAGCTGACTGCGCAGCTTCTACATGTGTAGAAAGGACAATAGACCATAACAGCATCCCTGCTACTGATTACCAAGCACCACTGAAGGCAAATAAAATACAACATGGCAGGCACAAAGGGATTTCCCATTTAAAATTAAGCTATTGAATTAAACCAGTCCTAAGTTAGTGCCTGACACCGAGAACATTATTAGGAGGTATTTTATGATGGTTGCAAATAGGACATGCCCACATTACCCATATTTACCTCCTGCATAGGGAAACTGAACAGACTTGTGACTTTTGCTCTGATCATTAGTGTAGTAACCAGCGATAGATGGAATGGTCAAGCGTCTGGCTTCAGTGTCAAGAGAACACGAAGACACACATGCAGCAGGTACAAATTTTTGTGACCCTGCCGGACTATATGCAGACGTTTTCCGCCGACTGGGAAAGGTCAAGGGATTTGTGTACAACATAAAGGTGAAGCCAGGTTCACAAGGCGTCGTTCGCCCAGCCAGGAAGGTGCCTGTAGCACTGCAAGAAAAGGTCAAGTGCCAACTTCAAAGAAGGGAGAACCAGGGAGTTCTGACAAAAGTAAAAGAACCGGCAGAATGGTCCAGTTTCATGGTAGTTGTCGCAAAGAAGGACAAAGTGCGCATCTGCATGGACCCAGTTGACTTGAATCAAGCCCTGAGGAGAGAACACTACCCGATGACGACAATGAATGACATTGCCGTTCGAATCGCGGGAGCAAAAGTGTTCTCTGCGCTAGACGCATCCTCAAGATTCTGGCAGATCAAACTTGATGAAGAGAGGTGAAAGTTGTGCACAGGTACAGGTTTAAGAGAATTCCCTTCGGAATGAGCACAGCACCTGAAGGTTTTCAGCGTGTCGTGGAACAAAGTACTAGATGGACTCACCGGAACAGCAGTCGTGATGGACGACATATTGGTGTGGAGAAAGACCCGCTAGGAACATGACGAGAGTCTTCGACACTTTCTCCAACGCTGCCAAGAGGTGAATCTACGGCTTAACCCAAAGAAGATCCAATTTGCCAAGACAGAAGTCCACTACCTCGGACAAGTGCTGACTGGAGATGGAGTTGCTGTTGACCAAGAGAGAATCAAAGCCATACTGGAGGTCAATGAACCAAAAGATCGCAAGGAACTTCGAACATTTCTGGGAATGATCACCTACTTGTCAAGCTTCGTACCACGACTTTCCGAGCGTGCGGCACCATTACGAGAACTGCTTAAGAAAGAGATCGCATAGGTATGGACTGAAGATCAACAAAGAAGTTTCGAAGACCTGCGAGACGCTTTGACGAAGGCACCAGTGCTGGCTTACCACACTGCAGAAAAGCCGATTATGCTGTCAGTCCACGCAAGCCAATCTGAAGTAGGGGCCGTTATCACCCAAGAGGGAAGACCAATAGCGTACTCATCGAGATCTTTGACAGCCGCACAAATGAAATATGCGCAGATTGAGAAAGAGATGCTGGCCATTGTTCATGGTTGCAGCAAGTTCCACCATTACATATTCGGCCAGCCAAACGTAACAGTAGAATCCGATCACAGGCCGTTACAGGCTATTTTCATGAAACCGTTGCATCAGTGCCCGATGAGACTGCAGCCGATAAAGATGGCTCTCTAAAGATACTTATTGGAAGTAAAATTCATACCTGGAAAAGACTTGCAGCTAGCCGACGCAATGTCGCGCTTTCCCACGAAGGAAACAATGCAAGAAGAAGAAGAGGAATTTCAAGTCAACGCACTGCAGCACATATCGGTCAAGAGACACAACTGCAGCCGATGTCCAGATGCGTCTACTGCGCGAGTATGCACAGACGTCATGACCCGAGCAGAAAGAGCAAGTTCCTTAACTCGGAAGGCCATTCTGGTCCTACAGAGAGGAGATCCACGAGGAAGACGGCCTTGTGCTGTAGTCAAACATGGTAATAATACCAACGGCCATCAGATCCAAGATTCTCAACTTGCTCGACACGGCACACGCGGGAAAAGACAAAATTAAGAAAAGAGCTTGAGAAATTTTTTATTCTGGCCCGGAATCAACGCTGCCATTGACCGCGAACATGACGAATGCAGCAAATGCGAGAAGTACAAATCAGGAAACGTCAAGATGCCACTCCTGAGCCACCCCTTAGCAAAAAGAGGCTATGTTTAGATGAATTTTGAATGCATTTAATACATGTATTAAGTTTGTATTTATTCTAATTTTTTTTTGTCCGCATTCAGAATTTATTTTAATCTGTATAAATTTTATTTTGAGTAGAAATTGCAAATGCATTAGAAGTATGTTTAAAATGTATGTTACATATATTTTATTTGTGTTCGCGTAAGTTTTTAAATGCATTTTTATTTTGTTTTAACTATGCTTGCAGGCACATGCAAAATATGTTTTAATCACATTTTTATTGTGTACACAGTTAAATGAAATAAATATTTTAATTGTGTTTCAAATGTAATAACAATATTAACATATTTAAATTGTGTTTTAGATGTAATAGCAGTAATAACTAAAATATATTTTTATCATGTTTTAGATGTAATAGCAGTAACACACGAAATAAATTTTAATTAAATTCGAAATGTGTTAACAATAATATTTAGAACGCATTCTAAATATCTTTTAAGTGTATCTCGAGCACAGGTGTAAAATATATTTCGAATGTGTTACTAGAGAGCATTAATAATGCACTTTAATAGTACAAAATGAATTTCGTTGATGTTCCTTGAAGCTAGTAGTTGACAAGCACTTTTTGCTTTTCATTTACCAGCTTCAAAATTTTTAGTCATTGCCCAATTCACTAAAGCTTTCACTTCTTAAGGCAAACAAGGGACCCCTCCAAGCGCTAGAATCACAACATTACACAGATTCATAATTGCAATCTTGATTTTATTCAGTGTACTGAACAATTATGCAATACCACTGCAACAGCACTGAAGAATGAATGTTTGTTCAGCTACCTCCATTCTTCTTCAGCGCTGTTGCCGCATTATTACACTTGCGTCTCAGGAAACCCCTGACGTCCGACTCTGACAGGTTCGAAAACTTCGTCAGGACGTGGACTGAAACAAAGAAAACAAGCAAAAAATGTGAAAGATAAAAGCTTTTGTTCCTAAAATCAATGTAATCAATCACTTGAAAAATATGTTACGTTTTCCTCTTGCCTCTACAATGAAAACATAAAAAAGGATATGCAAATCATATGACCAACAGTGCCTTCTGCTTACATATTATTTCATATTCTCACAATCTTATATAGAGGGTCAGTGATGGTGATGGCCAACATTTAATAATGAATGTGAGCATAAAATAAATAAAAGAAAGCATATGCTTGAACAACCCATCTTCCGAGTAGACACCCCTTTTACGTTTGGGATACATCAATCCTTACAGTCGAGTTGTTCTTGAAAGTTTCATCAAGCATAACATTAATCGACAAAGCTACAAGCCACTTGCTGGGCACAAGCACCCTTACCAATGATGTCGTCCACGGTATTTTTGTCCATGGCTTCTTTGCCCGCCGTGGACCCCCTCAGGCAACACCGTCCCAAAGTCTCGTTGCCAAAAACCATTTCAGCAAGCTCTTGCGTATACACCGAAGGAGCCGTGCTATTAAGCCGCACCATCCGGATGGCTGGGAACATGGTGGTGCCGAACTTTAGCTGCAGTAGAAAGGAGACAAACAAAAACAAGTCATACGAATCCACTTCAAAATTCTCAATAAAAATGGTCTTAATCCTATATTGCCAGTCAGCAACAAGCCTGTAAATGGAATTATAAGCTAGGTTTCCCATAAATATGTCCTGTGAATGTCAAATCCATATGGTTATCAGAACAACACTAAAAGCTATGCCATGTGATCCGCACGTCCCAAAGCAAGCAGACACCAGGGCCCGTTTGCTCGAAGCACTAACTGCGGCTAAAGTTAGCCGCAGTACCTAGGAGAGGGATTTTGAAATCACGTGACTGGCTCCGTAGGGATGCGGGGAAACATGGCGGTGCCCCGGTCAGTGAGCGCCGCTCGCTTTAAAACTAATACGTCATTGTAGCTGCAATATCGGGCGCGTTAGTCGGCAACGAATGGTGCAGGAGGCTTTTGCTGGGCCTTACCTCATTTAAATCGCAAAGCATGAGCAATCACCTCGCCACATTTTTTAGATAGTCTTTCGATTCTGGTCATTCCTAAGCCCAAATGAACGCGATAATTGTCGGCATGGCAACGTGTTTGGAAAGTGGATTGCCTTGACTCAATCGGCCGGGTATTCATAGCACACAAGAGGAGGCAGCGTCTCAATAGACCTTTTTCTAAGTTTCCCAAGCACCGAGGTGTATGCTACAAGTGTTCTTACACGCTTTGCACGTGCTGGCGTCTGCAGTAGTAATTGTTCTAAAGCAAAAAGTCTAAAACAAATTTTGCCTTGCACGCACGTTCGTCAAAGCCTTATGATTATTTACTTCGAACCTTTTTTAAGAGGAAGTCCAGCGCACGCGGATCGTAGACTTATACTTCCAGCGTTCTCCTCGATGCTTGGGTAATTTAGAAAAAGGTCTATTGGGACGCTGTCTGCTTTTGTGTGCTATCAATTCCCAGCCGATTGAATCAAGGCAATCCGCTTTCCAAAGGCGTTGCCATGCCGACAATTATCGCGTTCATTTAGGCTTAGGAATGGCCAGAATCGAAAGACTATCTAAAAAATGTTGCGAAATGATTGCTCATGCTTTGCTATTTATGTGAGGTAAGACAAAGCGAAAGCATCCTGCACCATCCGTCGCTGACTAACGCGCCCGATATTGCAGCTACAACGACATATTAGTTCCAAAGCGAGCGGCGCTCACTGACCGGGGCACCGCTATGTTTCCCCGCATCCCCACCGAGCCAGTCACGTGATTTCAAAATCTCTGTCCTAGGTACTGCGGCTAACTTTCGCCGCGGTTAGCGCTTCGAGGAAACGGGCCCAGTACTTTATTACTTGATGTACACATCTACCTAGTACAGCTAGAGATTAATAAATCAAATTATGTAAGCCATTATTTAATAGCTCACTCGGGCTGCTGTACTAAGGTTTGCCACCCTTCCTAGGCAAAAAAACCGGCAGCATGGGAGAGGGTCGCACGTCATTAAAGGGGTAGTACAACAATTTTAATGTTGAAAAAAGTGGCAGTTGCATTTTTTTATATTGTTTATCCAAGCACAAGTGACCAAAAACGTGTCACCTTACCCCGAATAACTGTCATTCCGTTGCGTAATCGCGAAGAAAAGAAGTATTTGCCCATCTGCAGCCGCATGTGACGGTTACGGGAACTCAAATGAGAGCATCTCTGGTGGATACGCGGAAGTCAACAAAACCTGTCCCCCTCCGCTGCTACACTCGCCGTCAGCCCCGTGGCGAACCGTCCTTTGTGTCGATCGCTCACCGCGACCTTCGACGACTCTAATCCTTTAAAAGGCGGCAATCGCGGAAGAAGCGGCTCGAGTCTCTCAAGAGAGGACCCAAGGGGAAATCACATGATCCCCCAGAGTATGTCACTCAAAAGGCGATGTGGAGACTTGAGAAGCACTTTGACCTTCGATTTTTTTTTTTAAATAAAAACTAGCGCTCGCAAGAAAATATGGTTTTCTGTTCTTCAATCCACAGGTGACACAGATTAATTTCCGCAGTCAATTGGCCGAAATAAGAAAATCAAGTAGTTCCAAAGGAGCGACGTCAGGGTGCTTGTCACCCTTCTCTGCTTCAGTTACCACCAACTAATCATATGTGGAGAGTTGCTTGTGACCTCACACCTTTAGCCTTTGTACAGAGTTGTCTCATAGCCTGACTGCACTTGCAGTGAAAGGGACTTTTTCCTTTGGCATGCGATTTTCAGTCGGAAGTCCAAATGAGTCAAAATAAAAACCATCGGTCTCAACGCACTGGGTTTGTCTTCTGACATATTTAGGCTGAAGGGGAGGAGGGAACTTTTTGCACCGTTTCAACAGAAAAAAAAATGCAGCAAACGAGCCGACAATGGTGTCCATTTACGCACTACTACAGCCAGTGTGCCACCCGAACTATACGGCGAGCAAGTTAGTCAGCTCTTCGTGCGCCTCATGGTTTTGTTTAACCCAGACGAGCTGACGGACTATTATTTACCCCTTGTTTCGACCAATCACGGCACGTGCTTTTCGGCCTCGTCATCGCGCGTTCTGTGTGCGTCCTTTATGTTGCCCGCTGATTGGCGTTACTTTTTTGTATTTACTTCGTTACGATGGCTCCTCTTAACGTTGGTATGCGCAGAAGACACGTTTTGGTACAGTTGCATGCCGTATAGACGCTTCGACCAGTGGCACCTAGTGTCTCACAGCTACGCTGCATGGGGTGCACGCATGCGTTAAGATCAGCACCCCAGACTTCCCAACCCCTCAGGGGGCACCTGTGAAAGCAGGTGTTTGGAGAGTAGCGTCTCCACGGACCCCGAGCTCCGCAGGGGGCGCCTGCACCTTAGGTGCTAGGTGCTTGGTGAGTAGCGTCACCACGGACCCCAGCCGCGTGGGCCACCATACCCGCACGCAGGGGGCACCTACTTTTGTAGGTGCTTGGTGAGTGGCGTCACTACGAACCCCGAGCCATGTGGGTTCGCCCACTCACGTCTGGCTGTGCGTGGCGTACCCGTGTCCGGGGAAAAGGGGACCCTGGTGGTTGAGCTGAGCCCGGGGTATGTTTGGACCCTTCGGGGCCCCCCGGGCGAGGCAATACACTGCTTCGACCCCTGCTTCTCGTAGACGGGTGTCCTGGCTTGGCCCGACCAGGATGATTCAGTCAGTCGCCTCTTCTACCCTCTTCTTCCTTCTTTCACTTTTCCTTCCACCTCTTTCTCTTTTCTTCTGCACTCTCTTCCTTCCTTTTTCACCTTCTTAGGCGGCAAGGGCTAACCTTGAGTGGTAACAGGTCCTGTCCCTGCATCCACACTCGGTTATAGTGCCCGGGCAGCACTGGTAGAGTAATTGTGTCAGCCAAGCCTTTCTTGCTATGGCACATTACCTACCCCCTCGTTGGGCTCCGTGGTGGGCGGTGCACCCGGGCACTGAAATTCCTTCCCATCTTTATGGGTTCTCGTACTAAACCAACTGATCGGGCAATGAAAAGGACCCGCACCGAAGTCCTTGACATTCCGACTAAGACTCCTGATATTTTTAAATTCTCAGTTTTTTGTTTTGCACGCCGAGGGTGAAAAGCCACTGGCTAAACTTTCTCCATTTCTAGTATCTAATGTGCTTGAAAGTATTATTGGTGCGAACTTTAGCGCCAAAAAGATGGCATCAGGCGACCTCCTTGTTGAGGTGAATACAAAGAAACAAAGTGAATCACTCCTAGCCCTGAACTCTGTCTCAGACTATAAGGTCAGTGTGACCCCTCACCGCAAGTTGAACACCGTCCAAGGGGTCATCTCTGAAGATGACTTGCTCGACTTGACAGATACAGAGCTAGTTGAGGGTCTCTCCGGACAGGGAGTGGTTGCAGGACGACGCATCACCATCCGTCGCGACGGCATAGAACGTAAAACCAGGCATGTCATACTGACCTTTGACTCCACTACTCTACCCACTAATGTTAAGGCAGGCTACCTTCAGTGCCGTGTCCGGCCTTATGTGCCGAACGCTCAGCGCTGCTTTAAGTGCCAAAGGTTCGGCCATGGGTCGCGCAACTCTCGGGGCAGCGAGACATGTGCCAAGTGCTCTAGTAAGGAGCACGTCGCTGATGTGTGTGAGAACGAAGCTAGATGCACAAACTGTAAAGGAAAACACCCAGCATACTCCCGATCTTGCCCGTTATGGAAGCAAGAAAAAGAAATTCTCACCTTGAAGGTTAATGAAAACATTTCCTACATTGATGCCAAAAAGCGTTTTGCCTTTGTTTCCAAAGGCTCGTATGCCCAGGTCGTACATAGGGGACCGGTACGGCCAATGGTTTCGACTGGAACACAGACGTCTACGGACGATCTGCGCCTCCCGTCGAGGTCTCCTGCGCCCTCGGGAGCGGTGCCAGTGACACCGCTTTCGAATCGTAAGGTGGATGCTGCCTCCTCAGCATCCACCTCAGGGCAGGGGCTGACCCCCCCTGCTCCACCTGGCCCTTCGGCCCCTAAGGGCCGAGGCCTACCCCCTCGCACCTCTGCTCCCCAGAGGAAGCCCGGGGAGTCGCCGAAGCAGACGACCTCCAAGGGTCAGCTGCCGGCGGCAACAGACGAGCCCATGGACGTAAGTGGGCCCAGGGCCGAGGCGGACGCTCCCCTCTCAGGATCGGAGTCGTCTCTTTCTGTTGCCAGTGACCCCACTTGGAAACAAAGATCCTCCTAAAAAGCAGAGTAACCCACGTGTAAAAATAGATTTTAAAACTTAACGGATCTCCCTTTTAGGTCACTTTTATATATATATATATATATATATATATATATATATATATATATATATATATATATATATATTTTTTTTTTTTTTTTTTCGTTTAAATGGCAAAAAACTATAGTGTTATGCAGTGGAATTGCCGTGGTCTTTTCCCTAATATTGATGACATAAATTTTTTTCTTGATGAGCTTCGACCTGTCACTATATGCCTACAGGAGACTCATCTCAAGGACACACAAACAAACGTTCTACGTCGTCATCAGGTTTTTAGAAAGGACC